GCTGCGCGCCGCGCCCCCCGAGCGCGTGGTGGCTGTCGTGGGAGCCTCGGCCAGTTCAGTCTCCATCATGGTCGCCAACGTGCTGCGTCTGTTTGCGGTGAGGGCCGCTGGCCGCGTTCGGTATCCAGCCCCTCCGTCCAATCCTCTCCCTTGGGGTGGCGGAGGTGTAGTCTCCTTGCAGAAGTCACTCCAACTCACAAAGACAAACAACTGCTTCAAAGGAAGCCTATGGGTCCAGCCAGACATCGCCTGAGCCAGGTCCCCACCACTTCAGCCTCCCTTGTCTGCTCTGGCGCCCTCCAGCGGCTGCCGCCCCCACACAGCCCGCTGTGTGAATAAGGAAACCAACCCCCCTGGCTGACAGCAGGGCGCCCTGGACTTTAGACCCCACTTCGCCGCTGGTGTCCTAGTTTGGGGCATACGCTGCACAACCATACATGGAGGTCCTGACCCTGGACCCTGGTGGAGAGCTCTGGGTGACAAGGAGCAAGTTTTTCCCGGAATTAGGACCCTCCTAACGGTGGGGCAAGCCGCACAAGTTCTTGGCTGCTCTGGGGGTGGGTAGGTCTGTAAGGACCTGTACTTTGATCCTCTATTCTGATCATCATTTAAATTCAATTTCAAAATGGCTGTCTCTAAAGGTCTCTTAAGGGGCCTCTGAAAGAGGACTCTCCTTTCGTCTGAAGTGCCCTGTCCTGTAGGAGAAGCTTGGGCAGTCCCTGCCCTGCCCTCATCTCTTGCTAACCGTCTTCTGTGGGAGGCAGCACCTTCCTTGCAATCTGAGGGTCAGTGGCTTGGGGAGCCATAGGAATCAGGGATTAGGAGGCCTTTGCAGTAGAGTTGGTGATTTTCTGTACATTCACTCGGGGGTGGGCTTCTGGGACAGTTTTACTGGGGTTCCATGAGGGGGGTTATCTCTGACCTTTTATCTTTCTGAGAAAAGAGGAAGGCTTTGCTTCCGTCTGGCTAGGCAGGGGCCCTCTGTTTCTTGAGTTTCTCTGATTCTCCATGGCACTAGGTGGAGGTTTTCTCAGGGACCCTTCCATCATCTGCACCCACTTAATCCCTCATACCTCAGTTTCTGCTGGATGGCAATGTTGGTGCAGAGCATACAGATGCACCTTCTACATGGCACCAAGAGAGGTTGTGTGGCTGCCGAGAGAGAGAGAGAGAGAGAGAGAGAGAGAGAGAGTGTTGTGGGGGGCGGTGTCTTTGTCTCACCAGTTCATGTATGTTCACATTTGTGGGCGGGCTCTGTCTCCTTCCCTGCCTGCAGCTCTGGTTTCTGTCTCTCCTTCTAGGTTGGGTGCAGCATCTCAAACTCAAGGGCCTTCAGGGTCCGAGTGAGGACTGTAGCTGAATGAGCAGGACCCTGTGAGCCCAGGGCCCAATGCTGCCAGCTCAGCCCAGAACTGAGGTGGTGTTGAAACCACAGATTTTAGACACTAGCCCTGAATCAAGTGTCCCTCACCAGCTCTCTTGCCTGTTCTGACCCCTCCTGGGGCTGCCCCCACCCACACAGACCACCCCTTAGTGTGAAGTAGGAAAACTTGTCTCCTCTGGGACTGATAAGGATGTCCTTCTCCAGAGCAGACAGAGCCTGTGCCTAGAGGCGAGATTGGCTGCAGGCTGGGCTTGAGCGCCCACCACTCCTTTGCTCAGACACACCCTGCACAACTGGATGTGGTGGCCCTGCCCACTCCCCTAGACCCTCATACCTCCCCTATTTCATCTGACCTATTCACAAGATACAGGTCATTCCCCACACCTTCTGCCACTCCCAGTGGTTCTCAGCTCCCTACCCCAAACCTTCTGTGCCCCCACCTGCATCCTGAGTCCCCATTGCCCTCCCTTCCTGCGGTCACTGAACCTCTCTCCACAGCCTAGGTGTTCTTTCCCCCTCCAGATTCCCCAGATCAGCTATGCCTCCACAGCCCCTGAGCTCAGCGACTCCACACGCTACGACTTCTTCTCCCGTGTGGTGCCTCCTGATTCCTACCAAGCCCAGGCCATGGTGGACATCGTGCGGGCATTGGGATGGAACTATGTATCCACGCTGGCCTCCGAGGGCAACTATGGAGAGAGCGGGGTTGAGGCTTTTGTGCAGATCTCCCGAGAGGCAGGTGAGTTGGAACAGGAGAGTCAGAGGCACCAAGGAACCTACAGAGGGGAGAAACAGGGGCTGTGAAATAGGGGCACTGGGGCCATGGTGGGGAGCCTGGATGTGTCTTCTATCAGCGCCCCTTTCCTTTGGAGGACTCAGTCCTGCCTCATGGCCTGGCAGGTGGGACACAGGCTAGGCTTTACCCCTGCAGAACCCTGGCTCAGACTCCTGAGTGATCACACTACAGAGTCATGTACTCTGGCAGCCCCAGTGAGTGGTGGGATGGATGAAAGCTGACTTTGGCATCCTGGACACTCAGGGGGAGTCTGTATTGCCCAGTCCATCAAGATTCCTAGAGAACCAAAGCCAGGAGAATTCAACAAGGTTATCAGACGACTCATGGAGACTCCCAACGCTCGAGGCATCATCATCTTTGCCAACGAGGATGACATCAGGTGGGATGGATGAAACTTCAGTCACTATTCTTTGGATACTCTCCTTGAAGGCCCTACCTCGTCTTCTCACTCATCCCCACATGCACATCCTCTCTTCCTCCCTTTCCTTCTTTCTTGTGCCCCC